CCGCCAGGTGAGGACAAAATACTCCTCTGCACTATTAAGTGGTTTGTTTGTTTTTTTCTGAGGCAGGATTGTTAAAGTTCCCACTGGCATTTCATTTCTTTTATCTTGGATGCAACAGTGCCAGTCCAATATTTCTAGTTCAAAAACAATTCTACATCCTGGAACTATCCTACTATAAGCATGATATATTTTCTGCTCGAGGATGATTTAAAAACTGGGCTTGTTTTGGGTTGATTTATTTAGACTTTGATAACCCGATCATCATTTTCCTGTGAAATAACACTGTTTCTCTGTTTCCATAGCATTGGCCTGAGCCAGCGCACCAACGTTATCAGCTGTGTGACGGTGCACGACTCGGACTCCTCTACAGCCAGTCCCCTGACTCCTCTCCCCCGCACACTAAATACAGCCAGCACCATGTCCTCCCGCCAGGCCAAGTCCCTGGCAGTGGTGGCACCTTCAGTCAAAACCCAGGGGTCTGAGAGAGGGGCACGTGCTCCACGCTTGGAGACCGGTGAGACTCACTCATCTACAGTTGTCTGTGCGTTATCAGTAATGCATTTTATTTTGCACGTGAAAGCAGTATGCTATAATAATACTCGCTACATTTTCATTCTCAGGGAACTACATAAAGCCGAAGAGATCATCCAACCGTCAGCCCTGCAGTTCAGGGGAGGGTATCGAGCGTCATGGTCTGGTGCCGAGCCAGTCACACCCCTTAAACCTCAGCCAGGTGAGGCTTCTTTTGTTGGTGGTGGTTTTTCAGGATTGGACTTGGCTGCTAATAACACCTGTATTCAGTTAAACTGTTGCCTTGTTTTGACTTGTTGACAGATATTTGCATGAACTGGCGCAGGTGCAGATTCACAGACGCTCTCGATGGGAAAGGGTGTCAACTCCTTAGTATTTTAATCTGTGATAGACACGGCAGCCAAGGTTAATTAGTTATACTGGAATTTCTGTCACTATACTCGAACACAGGAAGTCGTAAGTTGAAAAAAGTCCCTCCCAAAGAATGCGATTCATATGATGAACATTTTCAACAAGGAGTCTTAAACTAGGGTTGTTAAAGCGTCAAAGATCTTTCACTGTGGCATAAAACTTTACAATTGAAATCAAACTTGAGGTCATTGAGTCCAAAGTGCTCTCTGCTGGACAAACAATGTAATAGCAGGTGAATCTGTAAATGGCCTAAAACAAACAGAGTATTTATGTACTTTTTATTTAGCCAATCCCAATACGATGATGCCTACTGAAGTGGATTAGTGAAGGAGATTTTTTAAATTTTTAAATTTTTTAAATGTTTTTGGGGGTTTTTTATTGCCTTTATGATAGTGACAGCTGAAGACAGACAGGAAAGGGGGGCAGAAAGAGGGGGGGATGACACGCAGCAAAGGGCCGCAGGTCGGATTCAAACCCTGGGGCGCTGCAGCAAGGACTGAGCCTTAGTACATGGGTCGCCAGCTCTACCCACTGAGCTAACCGGGCGCCCCTGACGGAGATTTGAGACCAACTTCAAGGTTCAATACAATAATCTTAATTTTTTTTTCATCCCTGCTTTCTTCCTGCAAAATAGTTTTAGCTTTTTAGGACTGAGGCCATCTGAGAAGGAAACTACTACTACTACTACTTCTAACTTTTGATGTTGAACCGCTCACAGTTCATGAACCTATGATATGCGTGAATTGGCTAGAAAGGGTCACCTGTCAAAAAGGTTGGAAATCTATTAAAGTGTAGAAGCAATAGCTGCTTCATCCTTTTTAAATGTCACTAACCCATCAGGTTGCTCAGTACCCACAAAGTTTTCTTTTGAATTTAGTAAAGTTTCCAAACATACCTCATCCATCATGATGAATTTTGTTAAATAAGTCTAAAATGATGCACATTGAATGTATATTATTTCCATGTGAAGGAATGATGTATAAACAAAGGTGTTATTGCTGATATCTGATGGTTTCTTTTTAGGTTCAGCCCGTGGTTTCTTCCTCTCAGGAGCGTTCCCACAGTGACTCCTCTTTGCGTCGCCAGCAGACGTTCCCTCCGGCTGTCTCCGGCTCTCACTACTTCCCCGAGGTGTCCGCCCTAGCCTCTGCCCCGGCCCCTGGCACCACCCTTTACACCTACTCAGCCTCCACTGCCCTCTCCTCAGCATCTCAGGCCATGGAGCAGCTCCTAGGCCGCGGTCACAGCAGCCACGGGCACTCCCCCTCCGCCTATGCAGCAACATACACCTCATCCTCCTCCTCCAGGAGGGACTCGGCCAGTCGTAAGGATTCTGTCAGTCTGCTGCACGGCCTCCCCGCAGCCTACCAGCATCAGTTTGCCACTGGTTCTCCCTACGTTAGTGTGACACCCCGGGCCGAGGCTTACAGTGCCTACCAGCTAAGCCCCAGGCGCCTCACACAGTACCCCTACCTATAGGGAGCCGCACACACTTTGAACAAAGAAAAAGAAAAAATCTGTTTCCCCACATACTATCACAAAGGGACATTTAAACTGTATTTCTAGTAGAATAACTGTTGGTCTCTTATATGTTTGCTGCTTTTGACTTCCAAGGCGGTATTTCACTCATACACACGCTCTCTTGGACTGTTTTAGTGTTTTTGAAACGTTCTATGGTATTATTTGATATATCTTTTCTTTTTTTCTCCCTTAAAAATACAATTATGGCATTGTGGTAAATGTATTTTACTCCTGTTTATCTTGAGGTTTTGTGTGAAGAGAGATTATCCTCCTGTCACAAACTGCGACGACACTTTAGGCGAGCTGTAAGACGCCTGACTCACAAGGCTAGTGAAGGGCTAGCTGACAAAGAGAGTTACAAGTAATTTGTTTTTATGAGCCTTGTTGCAAAGTTTTCACACTAATCCAATGAGGCCCCCGTGTTTTTACCTAACATAACAATGACTGTACCTTAACCATGTCTGTTTACTCACAAATGTCTTTTTACTATGTTTAAATTATGTTTTGTCAGTGTGAGATAGGAAGAAGAAGGTCCACGAAGATGTCGAAGAAGAGAGAGGTGTGGAAAAAACTGTGATGGATACATGTTTAATTTAAGTGCACATGTGATAGTCTGTTAATGTAGTGACAGTGTTTAGGCAGGATTAATCATGTCCTTATGCAATAGAAACATTTTTTAAAACATGCATCAACTGAGTGCTGAATGTAATTTATGAAGTACAGAGGAGAGGGATCACCATCCTGAGGAGTGACATGAAAAGCTTTTGTTTGAAATTGTTTAAAAAAAAAAAAAAAAAGAAATTAACCTTCTTCCTTACTTTCTCTCCATGAAATATAAAAGTAATCCAGTTTCACATGGACTGAACGATATTCTCTATCTGTGAATCCTGACTGTGTAGGACCTTCTCATTATGAAAACAGACCTATGGCCAGTTTTGACTGTTTTATATTGAGAAACAGTGGGATTTTTTTGTCCTGTTTTCTTCCCATGACACTTTGGAAATGCTCGCTAGGAAGTTGTAACAAACTACCCACTCTGCTGTACAATGACTGATGGAAAAATTAGTTAATGCAGTCTGTTAACAACTAGGCCTTCTGCCACAGAAATGTGCAGAAGTGGCCGTTTTGGCTGAATAGAATATGTTGAAATAGTTTTTCACATATGGATTACTACATTGTGGATACGGCAGTCGCACTGTTAGTCTCGTCTGAATTCAGAACAGACTTGGAGCTGTTTCCTGCCGCCATCTTTTTAAAGGTGGTGAATCTCGGGATTGTTTCTGTGGGTTATGAAAGCTTTTTAGTAAATCCTTCCCTGTTGTGTTTGCATCAGTTTTGTGTTGTAATGTCTGAATATTTAACTGTATTTCATCTTAACATAGTATAGTTAAGAGGCTATTTGGTAGAACTAATTCAGGGAAAAAAGGTTTCAGCTCAAATAATCCACTGTCACAGTTTTCAATAAAATAACCACAAATTCATAATGGTTTGTTTTCATTATTCTTCATCACATCTTCCAACATTTTACTATAAATTAAAGGTCCAGTATGTAACATTTAAGAGGATCTGTTATATAATATAATATTCAAAGGTATGTTTTCATTAGTGTATGATCACCTGAATATAAGAATTGTGTTTTTTGTTACCTTACAATAAGCTGTTTTTATAAACAGACACCACAGGTCACCTTCCATATTAAACCACCATGTTTCTACAGTAGCCCAGAGGGGACAAACCAAACACTGGGGAGGACTAGGATAGGGCCTTTTTAATTTTTCCCAAGTTTCCCAGCCATCATAGTTTTCTCTTACACACAGCCTGTTCTCATTCCCAGGTCTACGAATACAGACGCGAGCAGTGTTCAGTTAGTTGCAATCTGTAACTTCACCGCTATATGCTACTAAATCCTACACACTGGTCCTTTAATGCTTTTCTTTGATTTCCCTCATTATTCTGAACTTAAACTGCCATGACAGAAGCGTGTTACTTTATCTTTGGATTGTGTAACTCAGTGTGGCAGCAGCAGTTGTTTGTACAGTAGCTGGAAGGAGCACAGGTAATAAAAGTTTTTATGTACCTTGGCAAGGCTATTCAGGCCATTTCCAGGGTACATCAACATAAGTTTTAAGTGTGCATATAAAAAAATTCACACACACATTTACAGAGAGCACCACGTGGGAGGGATTGTCTATGATGGTTCATACTTGTTTATGTTTTAGGAATAAAAGATTTTATCACCTTCAGTTTAGTTTATATATATTTTGTTGAGCTTGTTGTCCTGTTTATTTATGTTTATTTTGTGTTTGTACATTGAGAGCAACATAAAACCTGTGATTCTCAATGTGTTAAGAAAATACACCCTATTGGATATGCTATTGGGTATCCACCTGAAGGGTAATATATGCCAAACTACACATATACAAAATATAAACTGGCTATTACACTATACTTATACTTCCGGGTGTGTGTTTTTTTGTTGTTCTCATAGCCACACTGCGGATAAACTGAACTGATTCAAATCAACAGCAAAGGTAGTCTGCACTTGTATCATTTCTTTTTAATCAATGTTCAACATTTATCAAATGAATAATATAAATGTACAGCCATATATTTTGGGATGCCCACTTTACACAGCCAAAGGTAGAAGAAACATTTAAATACAAACAAACAGTGGAGACTAACCAAGATAACATTACATAAAATGCTGTCCATCTTATTTTACTAGAACATTATTCTTCATGTCTCAAACACTAAATTTCACAGATGTTTCTTAACTTATTGAACAGGAAATGTCTAAGATGAGTCAACAAATCAGCAGTTAGCGTTTTATTTATGTTAAATAAATAAATCAGAATACATTCTGCATTAAAGTTAACATGAACTTTAAGGATCTAAGGATTAATATATACATATATAAATAATTTAAGAATAATGGAATAAAATAGAACAAAACACAACATCCCTCATACCACTGAATAATGTGCTTTAAATCAGAATGAGTACTTCATATTTAATTTGTTAATATTTTGCAGTTATTCCTATTGTGATAAAAAAAAATCTATACAACAATACTTTAGAACAAAGTCACAGATCAAAACTTACAATCAGTGCAACTCTTTTCAAAACCGCCTCCCAGGTCAACACGAAAAGAGTTTTAAACACTTACAGAACCTTCCACAAAGCCTCTCAGGCCTTCGCTTCTTCCAAGAGCAGAATGCCGACCGAGGCGTGGGGGCCACCTGAGATGTCTGTCCATTACAAGCAACTTGGCCATGCAAATCGCAGTCACTGGGTCGGTCTGTTCAGACCTGACGAGAAAGGGAGATGTCGCAGTAATTTCACGTGCTGTTAAACTGTCAGCAGCCGTCCATCTCATGTCCCGGCAGCAGCACACAGCTGAACATTTTCTGTAGTGTGGACATGAAACCAGTCTGTCTTGAGTAAGGGCTAAAGAGGGGCAGATAAAGAGAGAGGTCTGTTTAGTATAAGGCTTTACATCATATACATGAGGGTGCTGAAAGTGCATTACAGAAGTATAATCTGTTATGAAGGATATACTTACAGTGTTGACTTGACAATTCCAGTCTTCATGTAATACAAAGCGTCCATTGATTCGTCGTCCCTCCCCTGCTGCTCCTCTGCAATCTGGTCCCAGATCTCTGTGTTGACCCACAAGGACCCGGGCAGGGTCAGGCTGGCCCGTGTGCAGGTAATCCAGCGGCACAGAGGGCAGGAGACCGTGCGGATGATGCCATCCACCTTGCACAGTTTCTCCAGGCAGGGAGCGCAGAAGGTGTGGTTGCAGTGGAGGACCCGTGGGATCCTGTGGCTGCGTGAGTACTTGTAGAAGCACACCACACACTCGAGCTCTTCATTTTCAGGCATGGTGACCGGGTGATGCAGATGGATCCCTTCACAAGACATCCTGCAGCACATAACATGACAAAATAATCAGTAAAGAAAAAGGACATGGCATAAAATATTCAATATAGTAAATATGAAATGGTAGTAAAATGAATAAAATAATCAAAAAGATCCATTATTACTACAATACAAAAGTATCTGCAGTCTTTTTAGAACAATACTTACTTCCACAATTGATAGAGTGCTCTGCTTTATCGACGGTAATGTTACTGCTGGTTGGAGTCAGCACTTATGCTGGCAGTGTGGGTTGTGGCGTGCTCTTAAAGCAGCAAATCCTGTATACGTGACGGATCTAATCACGTGTCGCGGAGTTCCAAGGAAGCGCTGCCTTCAGGTAAATGTTCTGTGGAATTCCACTCACTAAGCATCAGCGGCTGCATACACATGCACATGACTTCTATGGCTGGTTTCATTATCTAATCAACTGTTTATAGCCTTTGAGAGGTATCTTATTTCATTTTGAGTGAAATGACAGGTTTATTTGAAAGGAAATCAAACTTTGACCTTGTTTTACGACAACTTGTTTATGGAAGGTTTAAAGTATTTTTTGTCACAAAGCAGGTAACAGGAAGTTCTTCTAAAATGCCCTGCCAAGCAGGGTAATTTATTTGCATTTACTATGAAAACATACAATGTCACACAAGATTAACTGAAGCATGGAAATTTGGGCATTTGCTGTATAATCACACAAACCCACTCCCATCATCAGCAGTGTCTTTTTTTTTAAAGATGGTGCCAAGAAAACAGCAATAGAAAGGCGAATCTTCTGCTTTCAGACAATTTTTCTGTTGAAACATTAGATACACAGTAGACCCATCTTTACTAAATGCAATGCACAACAGGAAATTATCAGCAATTATATGAGCCTGGGCCATGGCCTGTCTGCGTGTTTGCCTGCCCTGCTTAGCAAACACTAGACATTTCTTTAGAACCATGACAGACGAGCCGAGGCCATTTCTATAAATAAAGAGAACAAAACACAAAGAAAGAATTATCAAAAAGAAAATAATATACAGAAATAAAATGTTGGTTCTCTTCATGTGTCTCCTTACTTGGACCTATATAGAGTGGCGGTATACTGGTCAGCTAAGCCAATTTAAAAAAAAAGGTACAGGTCTCTATTTACTTCTGTGCAGACAACGGGTTCACTGCTTGGCTCATGGGTTGACGGGAGACTTGAGACTCTGACCATGTGTCTGTAGCTCTTTCACAGACTGATATGCCAAGTGTGTGTGTTTTTATGCTTTTCCTCTAGATATAAAAGAGAACTTGGTACTGCATCATCAGGTGTAAGATTGCTGCAGAACATAGACCGTACCGATGAGCTACAGAAGTACTGATACCTGTACAAGGTTAGAGCTGCATCACATTTTGGCGTACTGTTTTTGGACTTATAAGCATTTGTTTTTCACCTTTCTTTACATGTGATTTTGCTGTTGTCACTGACAGCCTTACTCACTGATGTGCCTCAAACCTTAAAACGCTACCCTTTCCCGCTGCTCCACATGGACCTCGAGGCAGCATAAAAGATCTCTGTCAGGAAAATATGCAAAAATAAATCTTACATGGGGATGATATATGTCTGTGTTGTGTGTTTTAATTATTTCACCTGGATATCAACAATTCCAAGAAATTAAAAGGCAGAGAAACTGGTTTTTGAACTGCAGCTGCAGGTTAATGAAACCTGACGCTTCAATGCTATGAAAAGAGAAACTGGCTCCAATGCCACAAACAAGTTGCTCACGCTTCAAATGCACAAGATTAATCAAGAACACCCTACAACTGGTCTCTGTGGCACTCACTTTCTCCCAACTTTGAAAACCTTTGGTGCTGCAACGAGTCACAGAGAGTTCTATTTGATCCGATAAATGAGCACCGCAGAGGGAAATACATTTTGTAAAAGGGGATGGGCACGGGAACGCCTACTTAACTGTTAAAGAAACAAGCTTTTATCAGTAATGTTCATGATAGTGCAGGAGAGCGACATTTTATTTATTTCATTTCACCTCAGTAAAGCATATTTGTGTTTGTGACCAGCCGCCAGCGTGGTGCAACAAACTATGACCTGTTTTGCATGTCATAATTTCCACAACCCATGAGCCAAGTTTGTTCCTACAGCTGACATAAACCACTGAAGCACAGAGTGGATCACAACCGTTTTAATAAGCCCCTCCAATCCCCCGGTCCTACTACCACTCCCGTCCACTCCCCCACCTCCTCCTCCTCCTCTTCTTCTTCTTCTCCTCCTCAGTCCTTCCTGGGTGGGTCGGCTTTGAGTTCCCGTCTTCCAAAGTCCATGGTGGTGGTGGTGGTGGTTGTGGTGGTGGTGGTGGTCGTGGAGGGGTTTAACCGAGGACAGAACATCCCTCCCCCACGTAGTGTGTTTGTAGAATGTGGAGTCCGCTAGCTGGCTCGCCTGCAGGGGGGAGCGTCGCCCTACAACACTGGCTCCTCTTACTCCTGGGCTATGCTCCTCAGCACGTACTTGACTGTGTAGGCAAACGCCGCAAAGCCTACGATCACAAAGAGGTTGGCTAGAGCCCCACCTAGAAGTCCGTGGTTCCGATTGGCCTGCTGCAGGCCAGGGGCGGGGTTGGCGCCCCCGAGCGGGACGGGACCTCCATTGAGGGCGGGGAGGCCGTAGTGGGCGTGCTGAGGGTCACCGTCGGGCACCACGTCGGGTAAGGGCAGGGGCTGAGTGCGAGCGCTTAACTCCTCCTGGGCCTTCTGTTTCTGCTTCATCTCCTGGTGGAGGGAACGGAAAGAAATGAGAAAACGCTAGGCCGACAAAAAGGAAGGAGGAGAGAGGAAGACAATAAGTTACAGATTGCCTCATACGTACATCGACTACATCGGGAAACAGCTCACAGAAGACTTTATCCTTGAGGTTGAAGGCCAGGCTTTGGGCTGACAGCTGTCTTTTCTGGAAAAACAAAAGAAATGTGAATCAAATATTTGAGACGTCGCGGGTCACTGTGCTCTGCATTCATCGTCATCGGTTTGGACTCACTGTGTAGTCAGAGGTCTCAATGCTGCCGAGGGTGGGGCCTTTCTCCACCATGAAGCTGAGCAGACCCGTGAGGATGGTGGAGACGGACCACGCAGGATTCCACGTGTCTGGATGGAAGTCTGTGATGGACAAACATAACCTGCGGAGAAAACAAGCAAAGTTACACTAATAAGGAGCGATGTGGCCAAAGTCATTTTCAAAAACTCTTTAAATGTTGAATTCTAATTCAATTCATCAGTGAGAAACTTTCTTACCTTGTATTACACTTAAATCTCCCATTTGGTGTTATCATATAGATACTTGGTGGTTTAAAGGGGAATTCGCGAGGAAATATAAGTTTTCCATGATAATATCCTCCTAAAAGAAACAAGACAGCGTGAAGCAGAAAACGTGACTCAGTTACGGGCTGCCGTCTCGAGCTCAGAGAGATCGACAGGAATGAACTTGTCAAAATATGCTACTGAAAAGAAGCAACCTTAAATGAGACTTTGCGGTCTGCGGGTTTTTACCTTCATATGGAGTTTTTTCAGGACCTCTGACTACATAGTGCCTAGAGGAGACAGCAAAGATGTCTGTTAGTGACAGTTTTTAACAAAACAACAACAAAAAAGTAAACAGCATTACATTCCAAACAAAGCATTTTTGGTAGACTCTCCATCCTCCAGACCTGCATAAATGTGCTAGCAATCACCTAGAATCAGACTCTGCAACATACCAGGACAATGGTATGTTTTCAAATCAAAAGAAGTATATCTGCAGTCTATCTGTAATGCATGGATAGAGATTAAACATATTTTCTCAGCCTCTTGAAATAGAACCACAAGGAGACGCACGGTTATATTCACATCACATGCAAGGCTATGCAATAGAGAAACACCTGCATACCGACTCCAAACCACAGGTTTACTCTAAGTACATAGAAATACGTATATATACAGTGTGTGTGTCTATATATAGTTTTATTTCAGTTTTATGTTTTAACAGTGTGCAGAGACAATAAATAAAAAAACATTTGCTTCCTTGTTTCTTTAGCCTGATAAAGCAATGATAGGAGTGCAGCCAAACACAGTACAAAGAGAAAAAAACTCAACTCATTCCAGAGAAATTACTGAACAAAAACTTTGAAGGGTTAGCAAGGTTAAATATAAATGGATAAGAAGATAAGAATAATATCCTTGAGGGGGTTATATTTGTATAAGAATAACAACAGATGTCAGAACAGAGGCCCAGGAAAACCAATGCCGTGACTTAGGAGTGTCAGTGTCATCTGGTGGAAAATCCTCTTGACGGTATGTGACCGTAAACACTTTACCTTATATTTAATGAACTCCTAAGTTAAGAAGGTATTTGTATAATTAATATGTCGCTAGCATTTGAACAAACATATACACAAACAGCTGTTGACAGAAATGACAAAGTGAAGCAGGAAAAGAGTAAATGAATGTGATATTAGTGACACATAACCTTTATAGGTTAACATGGAATAGAGATTGTCCCTGCAAGAGAAAAGTGTAAATAACTCCAGCTTATCTGCATTACAGGTTACTGGTAAAAAGTTCATATTAAAAGCCAAACACAGTTTGGCTTTGGTCCAGGTTTCTAAGGTATGTGTCTTTGAGATTTTTCCCTCCAACACAGATTGTATAAAACATTGCTGAAATCTCTGTGACGTCACCCATGGGTCTTGTTGGAGGTAGGGTTGAAAAGGGGCAGACATTTTTAGGTAACTTTCCAGCAACTTTCCATTGAAAGATAAGCTTGGAATTTTGGAAACATTCCAATTTGGAAAACTTTCATGGGAATTAATGGGAAATTATGGGAATTAAGGGGAATTTAGGAGAATTAACCGGAAAATTGTAATCGTAATTCATACAATATTGAGATGTATTTTCTTTGTATTTGTACTACGTTGGTCGTTTTAATGTAGATTTTAAATGCTCCTACACACTTGTTTACATTGCTGCTTTAGTCCGATCACCAATTTATGCATTGCACGGTGTTGCTGTGCGTGCAATACAATGTAAAGTTTTGTTTACAAGCTGGTTTGCTTAATAGGCTAATGTAGCTAACAATAACACTAGCCTGCCACTGCCCCTGGTGGCTCGAGACAAACGCCACAGCACTTGTTTAAACTGAAATGGAAAAATATTATTGAAATGTAAGACTTGCAATAACGGAATTACTTGAAAAGTTAGTGTTTCTGTAGAAAAACGTTATTATTTCACATTGAGCTTGTTTAGATGAGCCACAAACAATAACAACACAGCTGTACTGGTGGCGTCCATGTTCTTTCCGACTCGTAATGCCCAAAGACAAATGGAACGCTATAAGTGGTACAAGCCAGGCAATTACATCACATTCTCGCGTCAGAGCAACTCGGGCGGGGGATTTACGAGACAAATGGTTAGCACCATAAGTAGTAGCCCAAACCATTGACCTTTAGCTTAACATATGATGGTAGCTAGTATGCTGCCTTTGATTTTCTATGGCCATTGTTATGGTTATATGCGTACAATACAATTAACCCAAATAGGTTAATAGCAATGGGTTATGTATTAACCCCCCCGTCATGGAAAAAATTATTAGACCACCCTTGTTTTCTTCAATTCAGACTGCCATATCAGTAATCAGTGAATTCTTCCCCTCTAAAATCAGTATGAGTCTCGAATATCTAATATTATTATTATTATCATTATACAAAATATTCAGATTATTTGGGGGTGAAATAGTCACAGCGACTTATTGACAGCTTTTCAGAACCAGAGGATGTAACATTAGAGCCCTGAAATGCAACTTATTGCCTTGGTGATGATGTCTGGCTGTGGGCGTTGCCAGGACGGAGACCTTACCATTCTAGGATGTTGGAGGGGAGAGGTTCTGCACAGATGTAAGGCACAGGGTCTTTCTTTATCCTGAGGTAATCCTGCTTGAGTCGCTGAGTGGCTGTTGTTGGAGCTCTCTTATTCCCGTTGTTGTTCATCTGAGGAATTAGAGAAAAAAAGTGGGAAAATTTATTTTGATTTGGTTTACTGAAATGTGTAACTGGTACTCAGTGACATTGCTATCAGGTACTGCGTCAAAGTGTAGCGATCCTTGACTGCACACAACAACAACTCGGCAACTGTTATGCTTTCTGGAAATTCAGTCTTCTTCATTCTTACTACACCAGTTTACAGCTTCTTTCCTTTTGACTAATGGCAGTGTTCAGGATGATGTGTGTGTGTGTGCGTGTGTGTGTGTGTGTGTCTCTCATATATCATATATAGGCTTAGACTCTATGAAGACTGTTTCTTCACAGTTGTTGGTTACACCTCAAAATGCATAGATTAAATAAAGCACACAATATAACGAAGGTTTTGATTGTAGAGATAATTTCTCTTACAATTACACAGTTATCATGATGTATCAACAACAGAATTGCCAGCCATAATTCTGTACCACCTATGTGATTGTACCTTATGTGACCCAGCAGAAAGCTTCAAATGAGAAGCAGCAAATGAAGTCTGCAAAACACTACTGCAGCTTTATGACCAGTACTGTCGCCTGGTTGTCAATGTAGATTAGTGAATGCTTGATAGAGTTGAAATTAAAAGCTTAATACTGTTTCACCTTATCATAATATTGCTGTATAATGGATCCCAGACCTACAGTAGTTCCCAATAAAAACTGGCGACAGCTAGGCCTGTGGGTTATCTAGATTACCCAGTCTAGTTATCTAGATTACATATAGTCAAAAGTCCCAAAATCAGTCAATTTACAATGATAGAAAACATACACAGGCAGCAATATCTGACATCCGAGAATCTGTAACCAATAAATGCTTGTTTTTCACTGCCACTGATAAATTGTATCTCTTTGTTGGCTAACCTGTTTTTCAGATCATTGCTCCAGCTAGCTGTAGAATCAGGTGGCAGTAGCTTTGAATAGGCCACAGGTTGGTAATTTAAACTACATTAAAGCATCAATTATATTTTATGAGCTCATCCTCTGTTTTGCCTGGAACTTAAGTCTGTTTTTATATATATATATATATATATATATATATATATATATATATATATATATACATACACACACATATATATATATATATATATATACAGCTAGTAAAAAGTCCTAAATTAATTTAAATGTATGGCTATTTATTCATATCTCTCATAAAACTTGAACTGCACTGTGACTTTTGCTTGGATTTCTTTTCTATATTTTGTTTTAATCTTTTAAGATTTAATTTAAAAATGTGTCAATTCAGTATTGCCTTGTGTTTCTTTTTTATTTGGTGTTAATTTCTTTGTATGCCCTATATAAATCACGTTGACATACCCTGTTATTGAACGGTGCTGTAAAAATAAACTTGCTATCTGCAGTCATGTAAAAAAAAAAAAGTACATGATCTCACATTAGTGGAGATACTAATTATTTAGTGGTAAAATACTCGTAATATTGACACTGTGCATGAGCTACACGGCTCGGATTTAAATGCAAATGTCTTTTCACCTGATCCCATTGAACTCTAGAGAACTTCCCTCTCAGCCAGCTGCACCACTACCTACTGACCTATGGTTACTGTCATGTGGCTAACAGCTGACAATATGCCTCTATTAGCTGTACGGGAACTGTAACAACGTCAGTGTTGAAATGATGAAGTATCACTTCCTAATAGACAGCAGGCTACTCGGCGTTAACGCAACCTATGTTAGCTGACACTAATCCGCTACTTTGTAAGCTACGTTAATGTTAAATCTCTGGCTAACCGAAGTGATCGATAAGTTAGCTCGATAGCGGACAGTTAGCTCCTCAACTACGGACTGTAAACAAACACAGCAGATCAACTTCTAACTGACATCATATGTAGCCGAGGATTTTTATTTAACTTTAATTTGTATTATTTATATCACAGCGTATCACTGCTGTCTGCCCAGGCGGGGTAACTAGACACGGTGATTTAGAGACTGCTGTAAGGTAGAGCTGGTGAGAAGTCCTGTCTGTGTGGTCTGTGTTAGCCACCAACGGCTAACGGTAGCCGCTAACGGTAGCCACCAACGGCTAACGGTAGCCACCAACGGCTAGGCCACAGCAATGTTTAGCTAACCTGGCGTTAGCACGATCAGTTCTGTTACTAACGACAGCGGAGTCCTACACCGCTCACATTTACTAACGAGAGAGCTTTTAGTACAGACATACCTCTCCAGAGACCCCAGTGGAAATAGGTATTCGTGGCTGGACACGAAATACGGCTGTTGTTTCTGTCGCCAAACCCCAAACCGATAAGACGATGACACCAACGTAGCTTTAGCCAGCAGGAGGAGAAACGACGCTTCCGGTTTTCTTCTTCGTTTGAGTCACAGCGGTTGAAAAATGACACAGAAAGCGCGATACTGAAACAGGCTGATCTGGATTAGTGCGGCTGATTATAGTCACTGATAATATCTTAGAAATATTATTAGCCTTGAATACATTTTTTAAATAGCCATTATACCTACACTTACATCTGTAGTGTTTTAATCACCAAGGCCCCACAGATTCATTGCTCTGTCTATTGTGAGGACCCTTTCTGCAACCATAGAGGTCCTCTCGCTCTTGCTTTGTGCTGCTGCATAACGTTTCTTGTTGATATATTTGTTAGCCAAAGCTTAAAAGAAAACATAGATTGAAATACACAAAAACATTCTATAAGGCCTTTTACTTTAAGCAATTTTATTTCCACCACAAGTTGCAAAACAGTTTGAAAATCATTTCATCAGAGATTTGCAGTTGACAAAATACAATTATACAAAACATTAAAGAGGCACTTTTAAACATTAAGGTTAGTTAACTCATCATAGAGAGTATGCCTATGAAAACATTTGCGTATTTGTTTCTGTTGCTCTGAGGGAAGCTTATATGTTCAAAACAAAAAGCCCAGATTATGTCATCAGGATTGTTTTGGCTTGGGCCTGGAGGGCACACAATTAGGGGTTGCGCAATATATGGACATTTACAATACAAGGATGATCAAACAAAATATGCTCTTGTGTTACATAATGGCAAATGTAGATCCAATGTTTTTCCAGTGTTCTGAAGTATGGGTCAAATCCCAGCTTCAGAGTAAAAAAGTCCCAGGCTCTGCTGCTTCAATTTTGAAGATTAATTTAAAATATATTTCTCTTACGAGTCCCCCAACTTCATACAAGTGCAATACTAAATTGTTGGATGGCCCCTTTAAAAACAACATGATATGTCTGCAGATCTTCTGACATGCTACAATGACTTAATCATGCTAATTCACTCCCATTACAAAAACTGGAAATAACACCTGTGCAAAAGAACTATTTGAACTGTAAAACAATTTGACACGACAAAGATTTATCATCCTAACCATGACCAAACATATTTACAAGAGCAATTGAGAACAATTAGAAGCCTGTGCCTCAACTAGTGCTTGCAAAGTTTTAAACATCAAAAGTTGAACCAGCATCAAGATGTATTTTTAGTGGCTGCTTCCCTCTTGATTCCTAAGTTACTGAAGAGCTGAGTGGTCAGTGGTCATTGTGGGTTCTTGCTGCAGCTGAACTGTACGCTCCTTCTCCTCAACTTCTCGGGCTGGAGAGACGCGAGGAGAGAAAATTCGCGAAAGACATCAACACAGGAGAAGACACCTGCAACAGGGGATACTGAAGTCAAAGGGGGAGTTTGTCCCGCTGCCGGGCACCGTGGAGACCCCAGTGACCATTCTGCTGAATTTAGCTTTCCTTTAACATCAGTGAGTAACACACCAAGTATTTTAAATGACATGACATGACATGACATGACATAAAGGCAACAACCCAGAAAATACTGCAATCTCCAATATTTCACTCTTCAGGAAGAAAGACATGAAATTAAATGAAAGTGCAAAGCATTAAGATGGAGTGAAGCTTCCCAGTCTGCCAGGATACTATATGTGACTCATTCTTATTTTTCTTATTTTATGCACATTTTTTGAAACATTATCCTTATAAAAGGTTCGTTTTCAGAACAGAAAATCAGGAACTTGCAGGGAAAGAGTGGTGAGCATCCTGTCCATTTCACTCCTACATCATCCTGGGATCCTTTTTTCTCTCTCTCAGTTATGAGTTCATGTGCTTAATATTCTGATTTACATTTTATAATATGAAGTGTGTTTAACATACTTACCCATTCTATGTGAAATAGTACGTACTATATACTGCGTGGTAGCTGCGCCTCTAGACATCTTTTTCTGAGGACACAATGCTAATTTCTCCCTAAGAGACAAGAACAATTCCTGACAGCACCAAATATTCTCCCAGTGTGTGTGTTTGTGTGCAACAGAGAGGGCCACAGAGCAAGACACCTTAAAGATCACAACCACCAGAGCAGAGAGAATCACAGTATCACACTGATTCCCAAGTAAGGCGGCCCAGGATGCTTCACTCACTCTATCCCGAACATCCGTGGGTTTAACTCTCCTGCTGCCCGTGGCAACCCCTGTGGTAACCCCTGTGGTAACAGAAGCAATGATAGGTCAGTCAGTGTTTATTCTTTAAGTGGAAATGTGCTGTTTACCTCAACTGTAAAGCGTGGAATTAGACATTTCTTACGTGTGAAAACATTTATCAGTGATGGTGCAACAATGCTGGTGAGATCACATAAATGTTTTACACGCTGGATACACTGAATTATTCAAGGCACAGTGTTGATGCTGCAGGCTACAAACTGAGGCACTGTTTGAAACACACAAGACCCTAAACACTAAAGGGATCTTTAATTTATTGTCAGTCCTGAGTAGGGTGACCAGGTGTCCCACTTTATGTGGGACTGCATGGCATTTTTATCCATTGTCCCACATCCCCCATTTTGATTGATTTGGCTCTAGTTTTCAAAAGTCAAATCACTGCATGACAGATGTTTTCTAAAATCTGTTTTTTATCCACTGGCTGTGAAGAAAGCAGGGATGGTTGTCATCATGGGGCTGTGTTTTATGTCAATGCAACCACGCACACATGGGTCAAGTGCAGGTTAACCCATCACCGTATTTGCTATGCCCAATGGGGAAAATTGCAAGTCACCACAAAGTCAAAAAGCTATGCAGATTTAAGCAGTATTCGATGGAAGATGAATATTGCAGACTATGGCATAAGGCCATAATAAAAACTGTGAAACTTCAGCTCCCTTTTATGCTTACTGTATTTACTTGCTGTGTGGGAGGTGGGAAAGTTGCATTCAAGTCATCCAGAGGGCAAAGCATAGAGATTTTATGAACTAAAGGGCAGAATACCTCTCAGCACTGGTAACATGTCCCACATTGTCCCACAACATACTCTTTGTCCAACATTAAGTTTGTTGGAATCTGGTCACCCTAGTCTGGAGATGTCTGAGTGTACACCTCCTTTATGTTTATCATGAAGGAAACAATTGTATTGCTTTGAATAAGCCAAGTGCTACCCAAAAGTTTGTTATAGACCAAAAGACACCAGATCAGATTGTAATAAAATAGCATTCTCCCAACATCTGACAATGTTTATACATATATATGTATAGTATTTATCCATTGATCATTTAGAGCAACTATTTTCGATATATTTTCAAACAAATTGCTGCAATGTTGAGAGAATGTTATGCATAAGAGATGAGACAGGAAACAGAAATCAGAGCAACAAGCAGGAAGCAGGGTTAGTTCATCAAGAGTTTATCAGTTTTATTGTATGCAGTTTGTTTTCTTTTTTTTCCCCTCAGTGCTTCTAAAGACAAGGAAGAAAGTATTCCAAAGATATCCAAATGTCAGTGAACAGAAGAACGCCTCCAAGTAGTGCAGAGCTGTGTTACAGTTCTGACTGACAGGTTGTTGTTTTTTACTTTTTGGAAGAGAATAAAAAGACAAACATAAAACAGATCAGACAGTCAGGATCTGTGATTGAATGCTGAGAGGCAGACAGTTGGCGTTGAGTTAAAATACACAAGTGTACTATTTACAGCATGTTTGCTTTGAACAGCACCTTTAACCACTCCTATGTCAATACACACAATGGACACAACATTTAATACGTCCGCTAGGGCGAGGGCCCTAACAGTTTGGTCACAGTAGCATCACATCACCCCCTAGACTGGTTCTACTTGCAGTACATTGAACTATTGCAGATTATCACCTGCCATATCAAAATCTCTCAGGTCTGTCACATTTCTGTAACCTCTTTTGAACACATGAGTACACCAACAGTGTTTCTACCACTCTGTCACTTCACAAAGCATGGTAAGACTATGTTGTATCTACTCTTAACAGTTTCAGTTTTTTAAAAAACAAACAAAAAAAATGGTGATATTATACAACAATGTCAGACACTTTCCCTTTAAAAAGTCTTTGGCAGAGGAAAATAAACCACAACATTAAAAATTAATGGTTGCAAGCTTTTGTGGAAACAAAAAAAAGACAAGAATGAGGAAGTCACCACAGATTTGGTCTGTGGATGGGAGAATGGCACAGAGGTGTAAAAAGTAAGAAACACCAGAGGGGTCATGGTGGTACATGCTTATTCCACAGGACTGCACTGCACGATGTGAACAAACCATAGAAAGATATTTTATCATGCTCAGAATGCAAACGATGTTGAACCTCCCAAAAACAATTCTGGCAAAGCATGCAGAGAATACTGTAAGCATTGACCAGTGAGGGAAGCCAGATATAGAAGTCCTTTGACCCCACAAGTGTGTAAACTGTTCTAAAGACATGTGCTCCTTTATCTCACCACAAGATATTGTAACATGGATGAGTATTTACAACAAAATGGAGGTGTCGTGAATCACTTTGTATAGTGAACAGTAGAACTGTTTAAGGGAGAGATATGATTCCAGTTTTATACATTCCCTCCCTACACTGCAAGACTTGCTGCTTAGTCCTCACTAGTTAGACAACGGATGTATGGATAAATAAAACAGTACATTGTAACTAGAGTCCGTTACCAGAGAATCTCTTTCAGAGGTGTGTTGAAATGCCAATAGTCATACTCGTAGCAATGTAAGGCCACTCCAAAGTGAAAATGAAACAAGTCTTTCATGAGTGCTATTACATGGCGTCATCTAAATACTGTCATAAATTCCATGTAATGCTTTCAGATCAAAATGACAATCGTTAACAGGAATGCAGAAGTAGACTGCATCAAAGAATGAATTGCACTGGTCCTCTGGGGAGATAAACATAAATAAGACAATAGGTAGACAATAACTTGACTAGACAAGAACAATGTAAAAACTAACTGAATGAAAATAAAACAAAATTATAATACTGTAGATGGGAAAAGTGCAGTTTCTTTTTTTTCCTTTACATAATGTATCATAATATAATACGATTTAACTCTGTCTCTCAGTATTCTTTGACACATGCCCTCATTTACTCTCCTGTCCACTCTCACTCACTCACTCACTCGCTCACTCATTCACTCACATCACAAAGTATCTTACAAAGCAGGCAAGGGTCTCTTCTCCACAAGCCCTTCAGTATTTTTGTCACAGTTTTACATTAAATTTCCCTTCCTGACCCCTCTTTATACACAGTAAACAACACTGCCCACCTCTACTCTAGCTTGTCAGTTACTCTTTTTCTTTTAGCAATGGAACAAATACCATTTTTTTTCACCTCATGCCACAGCACATAGTTTAAAGATTACCCATATAACTTCTAAATATGCATATTTACATTTCCGATTAAGAAGAGATGGGTAAGTTGGATGTCACACAGATGGTCTGGATATATATAAAGTGTAGGGGGTTAATGCAGCGAGATTCTTCAGAGGTAAGAGCTGCTAGTCAACAGTAAACCCGCACCCTTACACAAGAGGTTACACCATGTTATGATAAGTTAGAGGATAACCCCGTTAGCAAAACACCAAAAAGCAGATGTCATTTTACTGTGTGTGTGTGTCATGTAGCTAGCATAGCATGGGTGGTGCCGAGTAATGGCAAGCAGAAACATAGTGGTGATGCAGAAAAATGGAGTGTAGTGTCAGTATAGTTAAAAAGGTCCATCAGGGGTCTCCCCAGACAACGCCCCTCATAATGAGTAAGTGGTACGCTCTTCTCCCCTCAGACAACCCCAAGAAGTTGCCCGTAAGCCTAGATCTACGTAAGTAACAGACTTGAGATCAGTGTCTAGGGGCAACTTTGTTTACATTAGGAGGAATATATGTATGTATATATATATGTATGGAGAGAGGGAGAGAGCGCCAGCTATGCTCCTGGACACAGAATTGACCCCTAGCATTCCTCTATTGTGAGGCAGATGAATTCCTGGATGCACTTCCTATACTGCTGCTCAGTGGGGCTGCTGCTGTGGTATTGACCTGGTTGACCCAAGGGAGCCTCCGCTTCTCGCATTTCCTCGTTCATCCGCGCTAGACGCAACCTGGAAGGAGAGACAAAATGTGGGAGCAGAAATGAGAAACGGGATAATAAGGGGACAGAAGGCAGGTGAGAAAAGACAGAAATAAACAGGGAGAGACGGGAGTGAGACATTGAGGTGGGAGGAGAGCGTGAAGAATGGAAATGTGGTGAGGAGCGGCAAGTGAGATAAACCACAGTGGAGGAAAGTGAAGACAACAATGAGGGATACAATTGAAAAAGAGTTAGATATTTAAGCTCTTTCTTGAGGATGAAAACGGTAGTTTGACAAAATTTGCTTTTTTCTGAGCTTTCAACTGAGATGATGTTGAAAAGCTTGTAGGTAGACCCTGAGTAAAGATTATTTTGTCAAACATTTAAGAATGTTTTATTCTATCACAGTGCATTTTAAGTGAAAACACAGCCTGGAGCAGTATGATCCTTTAGTCACACGTGCATCCCTTATTACCAATAACATAAGATCTTTGAAAAAACGGATTATCAGATTTCTAGCTTGTTACTTGTTGAAGGACGGGATCTGCTACTTTTGATTAGTCCTAAGTCATTTTAACCAACAGTTCTCGAGCATGAATGGTTGGCATCAATGTATAAATGTTCATGAGGAACTCGCTCATGCGGCTAAAAAGGTATTTGTGAGGATTACTCACAGGGTGACAATGTCTGCATTGGCAGCCTGGACAGCGATACTTAGTGGGTCATGACCCTGCTCATCCACCTCCGTCTGTGATGCTCCTCTCTTCAGGAACAGACACACCTGACTGTACATAACAAGATGCAGACACAAAGAAAAGAGGTGAATATAAGAGTTATTGATAAACCGTAAGAGGTGTAATGTGAAAGATTATATAATGGAACATTAAATTCATTTAGAATAATTAGCAGAAACATTGGAAGAGCAGATCAAGCAGACGGATCTGTAATTACCCAATTCACTCATTTGTCTATGAGGGCTGGTTCAATGGAAATATTTGTCTGTGAGCAGCTGCAGAGAAAAAATGTGACCTCATAGAGTCCCACAGAAACGCCTACAGCCTCTGCATTTTATTCTTATTAAATTCAGGCTGGGACATGTACCAGGGGCCACAAAGAAAGAGCTTCTCCCACTTTGCAGTTTCTCACCCTGTGTGTCCCAGGTAGGTGGCGTGGTGCAGTGGGCCTCTGCCTCTCATGTCCCTCTGGTTCACATCGGCTCCGTTCTGTAGCAGGAACTCACAAGCTATCAGAGAACCCTGATAGACAGACAGACAAACAGACAGACAGACAGAGAGAGTTGTTATGTTAGTGTACTTGCTTTGAGTCTTATAATTGGCCTTTTTGTGATGATGATTTATGGCTGTGGATGTTGTTCATGGCTGTGTTTATGGTATCATAAAATCTAGGATTGGAACCTTTAGCAGATTATCTGTTTTAATTTTTTAACCCAGACAGACTCCATGTAGTATATATGGCAATGACAATAAAAGGTTCAGTAATTCACTTTTAACTGTTCACTTCCTGTCAAACAGTGCACAGCAAACAACGGTATCTCACCCCGATCACGGCCTGAATGAGTGGCGTTTTCCCCTCCTCCTCCTCACTTGCAGTGTGTACGTCAGCCCCATGCGCCAATGCCTCCGCCATGAGAGGCAGGTTGTGTAGACGGGAGGATCGGTGGAGGAGTGCCCCGGGGTGCAGCTCCCTCGGGTCTTCAGGGTCCGAAGACACTTCCTGTTCGATCTCTACCTCACCACTGGAGGACTCCTCTGACTCCTCCTCTGAGGGTAGGTAAGGTAACAGGAAAATGGCAACAATGGAATAAAAGAGGAATGATACAAAATATCTAAAACTCTCAGAGGGAATGTGGCTTGGTTTAATTTAGGTAATCAGGTAAATTGTTTAGGCTGCTCCTGTCAATACACAATGCCAATTTATTAAAAAAAAATTCTAGATGTTGACAACCAATGACAACACACATTTAGCTGTATTTCAGGTTTCTGCGTTCCCATAAAAACTCTAATATTCTCAACAATATGATGATGTTCTGGCAGCGGTGAACATACCTTCTTCTGTGACACTGTCCACCACTGAGCCAAAAACCAGGATGTCTGTGCTGCCGTCAGTACTTCCTCCCAGGCCGCTGTCGCTGCTAAGACCTGCGGGGCCAAGCATCGCCAAGCCACGGACATGTTAATGATTACACAGCACATACTGCTCATACACACACCACCATAACTGCTACAATTATTAGAAAACATGTCACAAATTCCAAAATGATTTGAGTTATTTTGTTCCTACCTGCATCTTCTGCATCTGAAAATCTACAGCAATCTTGCAAGTGCATTGCGCCCGTGTATGTAGTGACTGTGTAGTGGACTTACTGCGAGGACCAGAGCCAGTGTCAAAGTAGGAAAATAGCGAATCCAGCTCATCTGGACAGAACAGGGAGTCCCGGCGAAACTTTGCTGCAGCTGCTGCCGAAGGACAAAATATCAAGATTTCAGTCTGGGCTTCAGACTGTATCGGTACAATAAGTTTCAGCTATTGGTTTTATGGCAACAGAGAAGTTAATTCTCCATACGCACCCGCTGAGAGGTTTGCAGGTGAAGCGTTGCCCGGCTCGTAGCGATGGTATTTCCTGCGAGCCTTGTTGGGGGCCCGAACAGAGCCGTTGTGTCGATGGCACTTCTTCACTGTCCAGGGCCGGGACTTCCTTTCACCCTCCACCAGTGCCTCGCTTCCACTCATCTTCTTCAGGAAGCGTTTCTCCACGTATTTAGACTTGATCCAGGCCTCTTTCTCCTGTCTGGAGGTAGGTGATCACAAACATAAGTGGAGACATGACAGATAATTGGGTGCATCCTGGCGAAGACACATATTTTTAACCTAACTGAATTGAGAGTGGTGTCAAAATGTAGTCACAATGCTCTATTTCTTTGCCAAATGCTCCTTCTGTCAAGACTAACCTTGAACTAGACGGTCCAGGTTTTTTCGCTCCCAGCTCCTTGCAGGATCCCTCATAAATTTGGTTGATCACAGTGTTCCCCAGTTCACACATCAGCTAAATGTGAGAGAAGGAGTAGTTCAATATTCACTAAAGGATATATAAATGAAACTCTGGTGGTTAAAAAAAAAGCACAGCACAGAAAGGAGAAGCTGTAGGCAAATGTGTTGGGGAGACGCACCTTGAGTAATTCTGGCTCCCACGAGTCTAATGTCAGCGAACGCACTTTAGAGCAATGGACGCCTAAACTCCTGAAAGAAACAAGCAGAAAAAGAGATTAGACAAAGAGCTAATGTGAGCTACAAACAACCATGTCTTATTGCTTAAAAATCCACACTAGACACTTCAAATCCAGTTTGGCCGCCTGCAGATTGTCATCTTGTTTTAGTTTCACAAATGCTTTTTTTTAAACTACATAATAGATATATTGATAACTGTTGCTGTGTCTTTTCACATAAAGGAAAGTGGACTTGATATGAATAAGATGTGATGCTTCAGTGCAGATGTTTGCTGATGTGATTTGCACAAATGAAACAAAAAAAAACATGATAACTCAGGCAGACAGTCGCGAATCAGAAAGAAGGTCAATGTGAGGGTGGCATCACCACTTAAGTTGCTTTGAGCTGACAAAAATCCTGCTACACCTTGCTATGGTATTTCACACTGACAAAACCAGTTCATAATTCATAACTCACATAACTTATAATAGTCCTATTGTTCTTCAGCTCACCTGCTGTGCTTTTCTAGCTCTTAACAAACTCTCTTGAACTGTTAAAACTAGGGTAGGTATCATTAGAAAAACTAGCAAGAGACAGCTACATTGTGAAAGTATCCAATGGAAAAATCCCACCCTTCCTTTTAAAGTTACTCCATCAACAGTGCAGCAGTGAGTGCATGGGCAGAGATCCAGGTAGGTAGACAGTTTGATTCATTGATTGCTATCTGGATATGAAAAGAATTTTAACAGAGATATGTATTTAAAAAATTGCTCCTAAAGTACATTACCCTCACTATAAGTGCAGTTACCTGTGGATCCCTGAGCACTCGATGCAGAGCAGCACTCCCAGGTTGATGGATGCCCAGCAGGGCGCTGTTTGGCCGCAGTCACAGCACAGCTCGTTCCCTGGCAGGCTCTGCACCCTCTGGAGGAGGCTTTCCCCACCTCCCCGAACCCCCCTATCAGCCCTCTCACCCCTCTCTCTGGGCTCGCTGGCAGAGTCGATGCTGCTGGTGGAAGGCGAGGCTGTCCGATCCAAACGCTGCAGAGACAGGTGGACAGGTCAGAGGTTCTGAAGCTACCCGGGACCAGTTTGTAATGAAAATAAATTACATTTGTGTGTTATCACGTGACTGTTGCTGTACGTGTTCATACCTCAATGTAGTAATTGTCAGCGATGTCTTTGTAAGCAGAGGCAATGCTTGCCTGGACTGCCTGGATCCAAGCCTGCCGCAGCTTCTCAGACTCAGCCTGCAGCATACAGCTCCTGCAGGTTTATAGATGCATGTTATATAATACCTGCCCATAACTGTCTAAAGGAATGCTCTAAAGCTACATGGTATTTGGCTGATGAGTAAATGATGTAGTCAATAATGTAACAATTGATTTGCACAGTGAAAATCACAAAGGGCAACAAAACCACACACACACACACACACACACACACACACACACACACACACACACACACACACACAGACAGACAGACAGACAGACACACACACATATACACTTACTTAGTGGGTGAAACCACCTCAAAGCAGAACCTTCTCTCATTATCTTCACATGGTTTGACTGAGCACAGCCTCAGATCCTCCACCACCACCGTCAAAGAGTCCTGTCATTGGCAGAGAGGAGTGTCACAACAACTCTGCCCTATGTACTGCAAGCTACTCAAAGCATTTTAGTCTGGCTAGGTAGGGACAGTACATGACCCCATTTTTCTCCACCACCATGCAAAGTATTAATAACTAGACAAAAAAAAAAAACACCAAACATACCTTGAGTTTCTTTTGGTAGACCAGTTGGCTGTTTTGTATAGAAAACCACCGCCTTTAGGAGGGAAGAAGGAATTAAGTTAGACAGTTTTTGTGAAACAGACATGATCAATCAAATGTCTGCATGCTGATATTGGCCCTGCAAGGAAAAAGCACTGTCCAGTACAATGGTGATTAATAAATCTATAGATGAGCATTGACTGATTCTTGGAATGAGGTGAAGGCCCATGCAGAGCATTCTTCTTTCTTATCCAAGCCACTTTTTAAGGAACAAGTCATGCATACAGAAATAGGGAGTTCATAGTAAATCCAAAGTTCAGAACATTAATCCCTTAATCTATGAACCCTGTGTTCCTGATTAACTCGTTAGAATTTATTAAGGTGTCTTTTGAATTGTAAGTCGATCTTTGTTATGCTCTCTGTCTTCACTTCTATTTTACCTGTTCCAGGTCTTGAAAGCATTGCTGGCTCTCTTGAAGAGGTAGCCCTCCATGACCACACCATTGGGTGCATCCACATTGAATTCCAACTTGGGGTCATCGTAAGAAAAGTCCTGTAGGGCGAACACAAAGGTACACAAGATCAATGTTAGTTTTCATGACGTGGTTTGTTCCTGTAGGTACGCTCTTTGCTCCTGCTCTGCAAAAACAACACTACTGTCACCATCAAAAACGACAGGAGTCATCCTTTCAGCTCTACAAATCATAGCCATATCTTATGATGGCTCACAGTTTTCTCTCAAGTGTGTCTTTAAACATTACCATCATGCTCATATGTACTTTGAAAGAGTTACTAGTGGCTGTAATCAATTCCTGTAATTTTTCCTGTCCATACTGGCCGCAAAGCCTTTGCTTTCCTAAAGAGATTCCAACGTAAGGGATAGTCAAAAAAAGTGTAGAAATTCACCATAAAGCTCAGCTGAGGCTAAAGTAAGGCCGAACACATTGCACAAAGATTACATGAGGTGACACTGTGGAGCAAAGTCCACCTTAACATATCAAGAGATAGTGCCTTATCAGCACCACATACAGTAGCTGTGCTGACACAATGCTACTACTCAACAATTCCTCTGCTATGTGTGCTATGTGTTTGTGTTCCTCCACAAAAATCAAGCTCTAACCTCTCCACACTGGCCATCTGTTCATACGTTTACCTTTAAAGAATACATCAAATCCGCACCTCTCTACCTGTTGACTAAGAACGTCTCTATTTTTTTGTCTGTTTTGTCCACACAGAGTTGGATTTCCAAAAAACAAATTGAAAGTCAAATGCCACCTGCTCTGCAAGATGAAAAACACAGATTTAAAGGTTAGGTTTCACTATTGTTGAGAGGCCTTTGGTTGTTTCGGGTAAGGTAATACTGGGCGTATGGCAAGCTGTGTGCAGATCTCCACACACACACACACACACACACACACACACACACACACACACGCTCTGTCTCATTGTTGTATCACTTCTCTTGAAAAAATCATTAAATAATTCTAATAAAAAATGTACTGTATAATTGCACACTGATGTCGTCATGTACTCACGGTGCCCTCTTGACTCCAAGTATAGCAACATGTGAAACTAAAACTAGAATATAACTGCTATATGTCAAGCAACATATTTTATAATAAAATATAATATAAGAACTCTATAGGTTTGTGTGAAAACCTTCAGGCCATGTGAAGCATAAACATGGTGGGATGTGACACAGCAGTCTGTCTCCCTGCTGGCTGGTGATGCATTCAGAGCTCAGAGGTGTTTCCTCCAAAGAAACAACACAGACACTACATTCAAAAGGAGCATATGCAACAGACCACTTGATAGACTCAAAGTTCATATTTATCAACTCTGAGGAAAAAGAAAACAAAATGACAAAAAGAGAACACTTCAAATTCCACATAGGCCGACTAGTTAAACAAAAAACACAACACTATTACTATCTATTACTATCTGACATATAGCAAACCTCTGGCTGCCATGACCCTAACAGCCCCAGTTTTTGGTCATATAGTTATGCATTTAGGCTTTTGTATTAAATGTGGCCTAATTATCACTGTAAAAACTAATGATGAGCTCGGTCAGTGACAAACAGACTCAAAGATAAAGAAAAATAAATGACGCTCCTCACCAGTGTGTCCAGCCTGCCAAATATCTTCATCTTAACCACACTGACATCCAACAGCATCTCAAACTCAGTAAGAACAGATTCCCTTAATGAGAAATAAAGAAATAAAGAAATAATGCTTAAATAAATAAATAAATAGATGCTCGTCGGAGAGAAAAGACCATCTATACAAAGTCCCGCCGGATATTAACTTGGTGCTGCGGAGGAACCGGGAGAAACACACGCGCATCCAACACGAGTCCAGATGAGAGACTGCCACAGCCAACCGCAGCGCGCTCGTGGCGTTCCTCCACTCAATGCCACCTGCCGACTGGCCCGGCCGCGTGGATCTGGCGCGAGCTCTCATTATCATACAGCTGTCACAGGGTCCTCGTGCCCCGCTGACCCCGTCGCGGCTGCCGCAGATCAAACATTTCATGTTACAGCCGGTGCGGCCGCAGCGCGCCTCCTCCCCGCCCCAAGCCGCGATTTAGGGCTCCTCTCTGGGTATTCTGAAGCCCGGGGGGCTTCACCCTCAGTTTTGGAGAAGTCAGCTTTCCATCTGTCCGCGGCTCTCAACACTATTCCTGCTTAATCAAGCTGACATTATTGCTCCCCAAACACCAGCCCGGAGTCCCCTCTTCCCACCTTAAATCAGCCAGGGCCTCGGATTGCAGCGCACAAGTGTCCAATGCAGCGGCTAGAAAGAGGCCTATATGAAAACCAGGGGCCCACAAAACATGTTTGCAGAATGGATTATTCTCATATATGTTAAAATACTTGTGAGCAGTGGTGAAGGAAGTAAGTTAAAATACCCAGTGCAGGAAAATGTCCCCCCTCTGACTGTTATACTATTAAATATCATTAGATTATTAATGCATTAATATAAAAGCGGCATTTCACTGCTGTAGTTGAGTTGAAGGATATTATTTTGTAAAGGACTGCAATTGATGTTTTTTTAAATTAGGGATTAATCAATTGATCAATCAATCAGCACTTTGGTCAACTTTGGTTGTTTTAAAGTGCTTAACAAATAAAGTTGGATTGGATTGGATTGGAATTGATTGTTTGGTGTTCAAGTAAATGTACCTACTGACATTCCACCACTGCCTGTGAGACTGTGTCAGAGATTTTGGTTCACAGTGTCAGTTTTATTATTTTACTAGACACAATGATTTGCATATAACACGGGCCTCCTGATTTGTCTACTGGTTTAACCACAAACCTGGTATACCAGTTCAATAACACAATCCAGCACAATGCAGCCTCATTATATTGTTTTTGGGAAATGTTGGCAGAGGCTAAGGAGGAACAAAGGTCAAAAAACACAGTAAGTGTCGACACTATAACCCAGTTACTGTGAATACACTGATTAAAGGTTATAGTTCAAGGTCATAAAACGCAGCCTTCATTGTAAATGTATAAGCACATTATAAAATGTTTGCTCTCCAGCAGATTTCTCTGTGAATTTCTCTCTCTCTCTCTCTCTGTTTACCTCTCTCTGACTTAAAAAGCTGCACAGCCAAACACTGTAACAATGGAGGAGGAGAGAGCCGAGGCAACAATCCCCCAGGGAGCCACAGTGAAGTCCTGCACACATAAAAGACGGCTGTGAAAGAAAAGAGAGAGGAGAACGAGGCAGCATGTGATCTGTGGAGCGAGAGAGAGGGAGATGTAAAGACGGGGAGGGGGGTGGTCGAGTCTTTCGCAGATTTAACAAAAACAGTGAAAGTGAAGGCAAGACAAAGAGCAACGCAAAAAGAAGAGAAGTGAAAGACTGTGAAGGTAGAGATTAAAATAATTCCTCACTGTTGATAAGATCACTGTTTTGGCATGAGATGATTTTCAAGTTCTATTACACCACTGAGCTGACATATCACACACCTCTTCATTTTATTTCTCATCTTCCTCTCACTGAGAGATACCCCCCCCCCCAAGTTCCAAATTTAGCCTAAACTACATTCATAATGAAGCTATCTAAGCTTTTTCTCTTCTGAGTATGACAGCTGCAGTTACTTAATGGCCTATTAATAAAGGATGTATACCATCTATAATTCACAGACTCTGCTGTCTCGTGGCTTTACTTCCTGCGCCGCTACATTTGCATACGTCTGGGGCAGCTTTAAAAAAAAAAAAAAAAAAGAAAGGAAGAAAATCTGAAATGGATCATAGAAACATTTTCTCCTGAATCTTTGGATGCTGCCTGTCTTTCCCTTCTGTGGGCCATTTGTGAAATATAGTGCATCTTCATTAGTAATCAATCTAGTCTGACACAATCATCATGCTCTTTGTAAAATGCTTGTTTTGACAGGCCCAGTGTTCAGTCATTGGTGTTGGCACAGACAATGTTTTTTTTAAGTATTTGTTTTGGCTTTTATTGCCTTTATTAGATGGAACAGCTAGAGAGAGACAGGAAAGCGGGGGCATCGAGAAAAGAAAACTGAAACCGGACTCCACTTTTTTATTTATCTTTTTTTATATTTTATTTTTTATTTTTATATTTCTTCTCTTTTTATCTGTCCTCTGCTCTCTGTCTTTTTCTGTTCTTTCACATTCAACTAACTACTGTGTGTCGTAATGCCATCTGTTGACTTTGGCACTCTGGCAGTGGAGAGAGGAGGAAAGAGGGTTGAAGCTGGCATCATTCACGGTCATATCTCTCCAGTTTCTAGTGACATATTGACCTCTCTGGCAGTGTGATTACCAGAGTTGGACTCTCTTTAGAGGACAGCATCAGAGAGCACAGACAGCTGTGTCTGGATCGTTTTACTACTGTATGCTTATTTCATTGCATTAAGAGAATATATCCATTCTTATACCGACTGGAACAAGGATCATAAGGGTTTGACAACTCAAAATAAAATGTAAAAGCTATCTGGGGTATTTTGATTAGTTTTAAATATTCCAACACCTGATATATAGTATCATAAGAGCAAGCTGGGGCTACTTACTTATAATCTCCACACAAATCTTAAATGACCATCCTTACTCATAAAAGTACCAATTCCAGCAGTGAAATTACCCTAATACCCGATATTAATATAGATTATTCTTTACTGTATACTGCCCTCTATAAGCTTTGTCAGACACAGCACTTTGTCAGTAGAAAAAAAGTGTCAGTGTCATACTGTATGTTGCACAATGCATAACACACATGGCATGCAAGATATAGGTGTGATATATTGATTAGCTGATCAGCGTTAATGAGATTGATTAATAAATGAGTAGACAGAGGGGGAAAGAAAAGGGAAGGAAAATGTCATCATTCAGAAGAACAACTGCAATTTAAAATATGATTAAGAAAATCTATAATCAATTCAACTTTTCAACTTATTAATGGAATTAATGGAAAATATTCCTTGAACACGAAACAACACACACAGTGAGGAAACTATTTTTAAGCTCCTATGATATGTTCCTAACTGGCTTTCTGACATGCTGACAAATCCTCTGGGTTACATTTTTCAGATGAAACAAATTGGAAAATAGCAGGAGGATATAAGGGAGAACTGTAATTCTCCAAAGCGAGACATGAGCTGCATGTTTGTTTGTTTGCATGTGCATATATGAGGAAGAAAAGGAGTGTGAGAGACCATGAGAAAAATAAAAGAAGAGCAGAGATAAATAGAACAAAAGAGACCTAAAGACAACATCAAAGGAGAGACAAAAATAAGCTTGCAGGGTTTGTATGAAAGCACCTTAGATGATTATCACAAGTCAACCGTGCACAACACAAACAAGCTAATGATAGTCCGCCCACACAGGCACAAACACAGACACACAGAAGTTCAGTGAAAGCATGTAGACCCACAATGCCACTAAGCAGCATTATCGGATAATGTTTTGTGTGCTGCGTCCTGTGATGCTTCCAGACAAACACTGACACACATTCCTCCCACGTCCGCGCTTTAAGCATTGAGGGGATCACTCCATACACACACACACACACAAACACACAGCCTATTGATTCCTGCCACAGAGAGCTGCATGTGATGACCATAAAACTGCTCGCCATACATCACTCAATCTGTTCTACATTGCTAAACAACAACACTACACCACACATACACAGATCTGCTGGTCCATATTTCATATGGACAAGTGAAGCTGTAGTTTGATGTAAACACAGGAGCGTTCAGACCAGGAAATGTGCATATGTACGTGTGTCAAATGTCACATGGGTGTAAAATTTAAGGCTTTTTACGTGCTATTACAGATATTGTGATGTAGGTTGACAACAGAGCTCAGAGAATTTCAAGGACAGCATTGGATCTAATCCTCTTAAAAGAAATCCAACATTACTGCCAATGCAGGCCAGGTAAACAACAGGGGGGCCAGAAGTCTCTGGGAACATTACACAGTCCAACACTCCTCTCACCATTTCAAACAACTGAAACGTTTAAAAAGATTGTCCCATCTGGATGTTTTGCACTGCGACATAGTAAAAAAGTGATAAATATAAACTCACCTGCATCAGAGTCTGGAGGAAGAACATGGTAAGGCGAGGAGCAGATGAGGAGAGAGAGAAAGAGGGATACAAGTGTTAATACAAGATCACCACTAATTGAATTTCACTACATGAAGCCAAATATGGTAATGTGAGACATCGTGTCCAAGACAATAACAGAGTGTCCAGAAGGTCTTTTCACATAAGTAGCAATTAGCTTGCTAGTTCAGATTGCTCCTGAAAGACACAAGGGCTCCAGGAAATAGCTGTTTAATATCTCATTAGAAAGTCCCTCTCTCTTTTTAGCTAGAGAACATTAGACACAAGGTTAGGATTAGTCATATCAATAATAAAGTCCAGCAGCATCACTCAGTGCTAGGCTTTCAGATTAAAGAGGAAGGGTTGGTGAAAGGCCATTAGGTCGGGCACAAAGCTGTGTGCCAGGTCTGGAAAGATGCCTGCAGTTGGCAACTAAATCAATCTGACGAAAGAGCCAAATCAGAGAACAAGAAAAAACAGGCATGTTTTTGGCATCTCTTCAGGTAACAGATGGATGAACTTTACACATCTGTGCATGAGTGTGCCTGTTGAGCAGGGAGAGACCCATAAAATAAATATGTCAAACAGTCTTTGTGGGAACTCCTTTCCTACTTTACACTCTTACTTTGAGCTTGAAGAGAAAAAAGCTACATTCAACACCCAATAAACTAATTATTTTAGAAGCTTTATTGCATTGGAGTGAGGAATGATGAAATCTGATGTAAAAATGATTCTGTGGAAAGGTCTTTAAACAACGTATCTTCATGATGGCATGTGTTGACAAGATCCAGTTTAGATTCCAGACAGACAGAGATAAATATCTTTTTTCTTCCTCTGAATTAGGATGACACTGTCATGCTAAATGGAAGTGAAAAATGCTGACTGTCTTTTGTGTTGTGAAGAAAATCTAGTTCAGTTGCATTTCTGGGAAACCTCTTTCTTCCCTGACAAACATTGAAAGCCATCATTTTTAAACTTCTTCCCCTTTAGTTTCCATTACATTAGAGAAGAGTTTTAATCTATTTTAGGACCATATGAAAAGTCCCAGGAAGTGATTCAATTCTACAACCCCTGCATGTAGGTGACAGAGGATGAAAGTGGAGGAGGAGAGACACGTGTTAAGGGTTGTGTTGCTGCCTCACTCTTTGCTGGATGAGGGCGTGTTTGTGCTCCAGCTCCCTCTTCTCCATGGCAGAGTCGATGACCAGCTGATCCAGCTGCACAGAGCAAAGCCACAGCAGAGTCAGTGAGACAGGTAAATAGACACAGACAGACAGAGAACTATGCACACACAGATGTACACACTTATGTGTTTAAAGTGGTTATCAATCATTTTTCCACACCTCAGAGGCAATATCAGGGTTAATATATAACCATATATTAAAGGGAAATATAAAGATATTGGTAAAGAACTTTATACTTCAAGGACAAGTTATTTGGCTTTTTCTATCAGTAAAAATCTAGAATATAACTTCAGTATAAAGTCACAGTTTCTGCTGTAAGACATTTTATCACAATTAATTAAAGCTAATAAAAATCCCCAACATCCTGTTAAGTTAATAGACTATGAAATGTTGTTTGTAAGGGTATGCTGAGTAAATACAGTAACAGAGGTAGTAGTACAGTTAATGAGTAAGTACGTGTGTGTGTGTGTGTGTGTGTGTGTGTGTGTGTGTGTGTGTGTGTGTGTGTGTGTGTGTGTGTGTGTGTGTGTGCACATGTATTTACTCTGTGTGATTTTTGGTGTACTAGTTTTATCTCACCTGTGCAGCCAGTTTTTTCATATAGGGATCAATCTCGTCCAGGATGTTGAAGCCTTGTTGGAACAGAGTGTACTGGGCACGCATGAAGGACAGCATCTGCAGGAGACGCAGGGAGACAATGATGGCTGTAATACAACTGTGTTAGTAATCCTTCCCACAGCACAGGGACTCCACATGTACACATCTGACCTGCATATACAAAACACATACAATAACATTGCTAACATTACAAACTTAAATCTCAATTAGTGGAAATATATCTCGGCTACTCACTGCATCCAGGATTTCAAACTTCTTCTTAGCCTGAAGCACATTAATCTGTTAAAAACAAAGAGGTTTGAGGTTAACAACATTAAGTGATCAAGTGTGGTGTCCTTTTCTGCATTAAGGAGTATCGAGAGTTTTGTGTCTATGGACTCAGCAACTGTTGAGCGTTAGCGCCACCTGTTGGACAACACTGATAATATAATATTGTTTGTGTGTGTGTTTCACCTGAAGTACATAGTCAAGGGCCAGGTGCCTGAAGGCTTTGCGGCTGAGGACGAGTGCCTGGGTGGCCTCTTCGGCCTCATGCACCTTGTTCCTGGGGGCCTGTGCATTCTTCACCTGGGCCAGCTCCATGTCCTCGCGCACCCTGTCAAACTGCTTCTTGGTGTCCTTAAACTTGCGCACATCCCTGAAGGAGGTGCAGTGAAAAGGAGAAAAGAGTGTAACTCATGTCCATCTATGCCAAATCACAAGAACATGTAGGTCTCTTAGTTTGAAATGGTTGATTAGTGTTATTACTGTATGTGGTTAAAAAAGTAGTAAAATAGTAAAGTAACAAACTGAATATTTACAAATGTTTTCTAAATGTGGAGATTACATATTAGTAAAGAGACATTTACAGTTTAGACTTATATCTTACAGCCTTTAATATATAGCTTGAGTCACCTCGCTGTAGTGCGGATCACAACAATCACTTATAACCCATCACAGTCTTTACTCATTGTGTATAAACCTGAACATGTGTTACATCTTTCTAATTCATTGTGATAAGATACTCACTCTTTTATGAAAGTGTGAAGCTGCTGCTTGATCGACCTCTGAGCCTGGTCAAATAAAATCTGTGCACAGATAAGGTGACAGAGGTTTGGAACATGAGCATTCAATATTATCATATGAGCTACAGCAAGATAAAGAATTGGTTAAACCTGCGATGACTGGATTAAATCTGTAGTTGGTACATCTCGCCACAAGATGGCAATATGACCCCTTCCATATTATGACTGTAACAGATTATGCCACAGGCAGAGAAGGGGAAAGGAAAGAGAGATAAGGACAAACACACATGTGAACTCACTCGGCTGCTGCCTCAACAGATTTTTAGCCTCACAGGATCACAGAATTTGCTTCCTGTTAACTGTGGGATTCCCACTCCTCCTCTTCCTCGTCTCACTCTCCTGTCCTTTAGCTCTCCTCCCCTTCCTTCTCTATAGTTTTCCCCTCTATTTCTTGTGCACGGGGAGCAGATCTTACCATCTAGACAAGGATTTCTCTGCCCACACTCCAAATATAATGAGCTCAGAATGGCTGCTGTTGAACAGACCATCCATATTTATTAAGGAAATATATAGGTGTATATGCATAGACAGTGAGAATACCTCAGTGAATGTCTCACGCAAAACACATACACACACAGAAATTTCAGTTGTGATTATTTCATAGCCGCACGCACGCACGCACGCACGCATGCGCGCACACACACACACACACACGCACACACACACACACACACACACACACACACACACACACACACACACACAATGTATACAACAATCACTGTTGGCTGCCTGTGGATTAAACTTTCTATAGCAATCTCTAGTCAATAAACATACACATTGAGGATTATAGGCTTAGTGTGTGTGTTTGTGTGTGTGAGTGTGAGTGTGAGTATGTGTGCGTGTGCGTGTGTGTGTGTGTGTGTGTGCCTTCATCCATATGACATTCCCCTAGAGCCTGATGACTTCACTTACTGGTTCTCTGGTTTCTTGCGTTAGATACCAGTTCACAAATCTTCACAAATGTAGTCCGTACTCATTGTGTATGAATCACCTGCTACTCCTCTTTGACTGCAAAAATTATAAATGGCTTTTTGAATGGATGCAAAAGTGTGGTGAAGCTTCAAGTGGTCAGTCAGGCATCAGACAGTGTAACTCCTCCTGCAGTCCTTTTCTACAAAGCTATTTTTTGCCATGCAATATTTTCTAAATATAAGAGGACAAAGGTTACAATATAGTTCAAATTTAACCAGCTTGTGGTTATATTAGTAAACATTCACTAGAAACATCCACCAGCTGAGCGGCTAACTTCTGATTTGGCCCTCCGTTAACTTAAATGGGAATAAATGATTTAATTGTGTGGATCTTCTGGACTTTCAAAATGTTACTCGACTGAATGGATCAAATTCCGATGCTCGTGAAGAATTATTTACAGCTGCTTCTTTCACAATGTAATCTTATAGGAAAAAGTCTCTTTAGGCCAGTGAGCATCACGTGACAGATGCCATTGCTGTAATTACTCGGTTCAGCCACTGTGTCAAATTGGCTTCAAAAGCCAGCACTCTTCCAGGGGGGGTTAGAAATACCCTAGATCCAGTATTCCAGACTTTGAAGAAAGTGTTACACTTTTCTTTATTTGTAAGGTTTTCTCATGCGATCACAGTTGTGAAAGAGGGCCACCAGAGATCAACTGCTCTTTAACAATACTGAATATAACTATACCGCAGGTGTCAAGGGACTGTAGAAAATGTGTGCTGTGCAGAATGAAGGTTTGGTACTTTCGAGGGTGGTATAACCACCTATCTGCCCATTGTAGGAAACCTGCTCTACATTATGGTGCCCTGGGTATGACTCAACCTACAACACATCTACACTCAACTGCCCAGCACCCTTGTCTCCAAAGATCTCAGTGTTTGCTACTGTAGTAGTCAATCACTTCTCTTGTATCTCGTCTGCATGAGAACTGCAGAGATGTTGATTTTTCAGTAAAAAATCCAACACAGCAAAGAAGTTAATTGAGGACGCCTCAGTCTCACAAAAATCAGTTCAAATCTGCCGTGATATTATTCTCAATCTGTTAAGATTATGGGCAGGAATTGTGTTTTTGCTTATCGCGTGATTAACCGGGAGACTCATCTTCCTGTTTGAATGGCTTCTTTTGTGTCTGCTGAGAGCTGAGAAGGTGCAGAAATAGGCATCACTGGGTGGTCGAACAAAGACAGATTTCCTTTCACTGTCTTTCCCTCCCCTCCCTCCATCCCTTCATTCATACTCTCTGCCAGACAAGCTATTAGTGTAATTCCTGGGTGTTAGAGTGGAGGAACGGGACGCCTGTGGTGAGGGGTAAGGGTGGGGGCAGGAGAAGAGGGGACAAGGAGGATGGATGGAGAGGCGGTGGAGTGGCAGAGGAAAAGAAACAAGTAGAGTAGTCTAGCCGTCAAAAGCTGTATTGCTCTAAATTTGTAATGATGGTGGGTTATGTGATAAGACTGAAAGCTAACAACATTAATCTCACAAACATGTCAGTACATGTAATGGAAAGAAGAGAGCCATGAGAGGAAAAGATAGAGGAGATTGCACTGGATTGATACAGATGATGGATCCCATCTAGTGTTCAGCACTTTGATTTGATTTAAAAAGGGATTTAAAGTTAAACAGGCTTGACGTTGGTTGAGTGAAACAGAGTCAGTGAAGTAAGGGACATGAATGGACGAAAAGAACAAGACAGATTAGTGAGGAATATGGGAGGATCAACATTTGTTTTTTTTTTCTATTCAATGACTAACCAACTGGTACGTCTTTACCCAGAGACCAGTGTTTAAATGCCCTTTAACCACTTGAGTCAAGTTCATTTGTGCTGTATAGCACTGTAGTACTGTATATTTGTTTAGTCAAAGGTTATTATCGTAAAACTAAACTAAAAACTAAACCTAGGTATTAAAAAACATTTTGGTTCACTGAAATAAAAATAAAAACTAGAAAAAACTAAAATAAAATAAAAATATACAGCAAATGTCTTTAGTTTAAGTCTTAGTCACATTGGTCAAATCTGTCAACACGACAAGCGTGAGGTGGCATTAGTTGAGAGTGGATCTCAATGTGTTTGTTACACACTTAAAATCAGTTCTAAGAAAACAAACAAATAAAAAGGATCCCAACCAGCTTATCTAGTACCGGCTTTAAGTCTGAGTACTAAGGTCATCTAAGTCTTCGTGTCAAATGCTTTTACTTCAAAATTTAAGCAGAACTGCCACTAAAAAATGTTGAAATCATGAATCAATTTCCCAAAATTTCACTTCCGTTCTTCTTGTTCTTTTCTCCTCTCCTCCTCCTCTCACAGCCCTCTCTTTTCTCAAGCTCACTTTCCTTCTCTCCCTTATGTTCACAGTTGTTACAGACCGACCTGCAAACACCTCAAAACGCCACACACTCTCACATATTGACAGTAATTATGACTGTAACACAATGTGGTAAAAGACGCTTGTGGATGTAACCGTAAATGTTTATGACTTGTCAGACCATATCTCTTGTAATTGCCTTTAGGCTTCTCAAACCTGTACGGGATTCCCAGAAAAGAAAATTTGTTAATCAGTCATATGAGTAAAGAGTCATATGAATAAAGTGTGTGTGTGTGTGTGTGTGTGTGTGTGTGTGTGTCGTATGTGTGTGTGAGCAGTTGTGCATTAAAGCTGCCGTACACATCTGGAGAAGCATGTGGTTTGAATCAGACACACGCATGTGGAGCGGCCCGTGTGGACAGATTCACCGTCACAGAGTGAGGTCACAGTTAAATTGTGTGTTTTGCGCAATACTGGACCCAGGAGGGACTGGATGCCTGAAAGACGTTAACATGCCAAGAAGACCTGGGCGTGTCAGAACAACATTCAAACGCAACCTCTCGCCTGTGGCTGAAGCTGATGTGTGTCTTACCATGTGGTAGTTGACGATCTCCTGGAGGCTTTCTCCGCACTTTTCAAGGCATTCCTGCGATGTTGAACACACACACACACACACACACACACACACACACACACACACACACACACACACACACACACACACAATGTAAGCACACAGGTTTCCATATAAACACAAACTTCTTTTTCACACAATAAATAACATTAAATCCGTTTACCGCACTGTGCACAAAGCATGATCTGGATCTGTACTTGGTATAAAATCAGCTCAACCTTGAATGGTTATTGACTGTGTAACAATTATGTCTCTACTGCTTTGCCCCAAAGCTACCAGGGCGACACCCGTACTGACAGGAAGTCCAGTCCAAATGTTTTCCTAAAAGAAAACCATAAAGCAGGTTTCAGATGTCTCTGCTTACAGCCATGTAAACTATCAGCGTAAACATCTCCTGTCTGCATGCGGTCACATCTGTCATGTTTAAAACAGCTGGATAACTCTGTGTCTGGACAATACTGTTTATACTGCTCTGCTGTTATTATTCATGTGGGGAATCACAGGAATGTCCAATAGCAAAGATAGATAAGCGGCCATTTGTTGAGAAGCTAACCCCTCAAGCATTCCTCAGTGCATATACAGATCTGAGCTTGGTTTTAAAGACGGTGCTTCTTCTGCTCACCGATATCATCTCCTCTTTCTTGCACTGCTGGGACAGGTCCTTGATGCCGTTGACGAAGAGCTTGTTGGCGCTGACATAGGCCCTGCCAGCCTCGATCATCCCACTGCACAATTTCACCAGCTAGCGAGGGGAGGGGGGGAGAGAAACACAAAAATAATCACTTTAAAAACACTGTCACATGCTTTACACAATGCAATGCGAGGATATTAATAGTTACAGTGATGACACAGCTTAAAAAGAATTCTTGGTCACATGCAGAATCCAAGAGGATGCTCAAATTTAGAATAATCCTCATGTCTGTATCTAGGACAGTGTTGGCATTAATGTGTCTGGTATCCAAATTTAGAATTCTGACAGATGTGCAAATTTAAATCTTTATATTAATATATAAAGAACTTTGATGTTTCTGAAATAATTCTGCTTTACTCATTTAATAAGATAATCCTCTATTGACTGAAATTTAGGGATTTCCTACATAGAAAACCCTCAATATATTTACTTAAGGGTGAACATTAAATTGATGACTTATCAATCATTGCCATTTTGCAATGATTGAGAGAGAGGTGCAGGGTCGCATAAAGGTCAAGGGTTGTTGCAAGATTTGTTAATTTTCTTCAACATAGGGCAAAATCTACATTAACTACACTTTGTCTTACGTCTTCAAAAATATTAAAACAGAAGAAACAAGCAATAACCATTTAAATCATGTTCAAAACCCTGTTAAATATGCTTCATGCGCAGGAAGAAGCTTTCAGATGCACCACTGCTGCAATAATTAAGGCAGAGAGCTAAATGTAAACAGAGTCAACACATCATATGTGCGTCTTCCTGTGTATCTTTGTTGTCCTATACAAGCTAAATTAAGCTTTTAAACAAGGTAAAAAATATACATACACAACTTAATATTTACTAATTGTTTATTTTAAGGTTAATATTATATATATATCTATATATATATCTAGATATATATTACATATATTACATACATGAATGCCTGTAACAAATTTGACCATCCAATATTTCTTGAGATATTTCACCACAAATGTCAGCCTCATGGTGGCCAAATTCAATAGGATTTGTTGTATGTGCACCATGCAATAAGTAGCAAATGTTGAGGCAATCCATTTAATTGATGTTGAGAAATGTCATATAAAACCACAAATGCAGGGATCATATAGTAGGTAGCAAACAGAGCGTGATTCCAGCCATATGACAGCAAAATCCTCTATTACTGTAAGCCAGCTGGATATATTATATGTCTATTACCAGGTGCAGACAGTTCACAGCGATGGTAGGTACTCTTTTAAACACCACATGAACTGCCAACCGCTACACTTTCCCACTTCACGAGTTATATGATAAGCTACAGAATGGTACACTGTCATTACCGCTGCACTGACACAGCTGGCAGTGTGTCCTACAGTGTGTGTGTTGGTGAGGGGTGGGGTGAGGTAGGGGGGAGTTATGCTGAAGAGAGAGTTCAATAAACCTGTAATTATCTCATTTGGTGCAAGAGTTCCCAAGGTTGTCGCTATGTGAGTGTGGTTTTCTGGGTGGCTGACAGTAAGACTTCTAATCTGCACGGGCCGGAGATGAGAAACTACAGAGCAAGGACCAATAACTGCGCCGTTTATGACAACATGACCAGAGAACAGGAGTTTTAATGTAAATGTGAGCATTGCTGAAATGGGTTGCCGGTTCAAAATGTGTGAGTTTAACTTACAAGATGTACAGTGTGCACAATCAGTATGTATATATATATATATATATATATATATATATGTAGTTATCTAATGTGCATCATATACTCAATCCATGCAAAAGACAAGGCAGCGTGATTCGTGCCCTTCTGCTGCTCCCAGGCCAGTCCGACAACATATCTGTCAACAAATTAGCTGATATGGGGGAATCTGATCTCATCGTGTGCTGTACTGAACCCCCAGGGTCTGAGCACAGCCATTAGAGGCACAGTATATGTGTCAGGATTGGTTGATAAATGGGCTGGAAGAACCACAGGGGGTCCGCTCGGAGTCAAAATGCCACATCTGGTACCACATTGCAGGCCTCGCCGTGTTAAATGACACAAAACAGTTACAGTTAATGCAGAGGTCCTGTTGGTCAATGAGGTGTGGGATGGGCATTTTAAATTTGGGCAATTTATGAATGGTTCATAGCAATAGTTTGTGGATTAACAAGCAAAAACTACTTAATTCCAGTACATTAGTAACAATATCTAGCTAGCAGGGATTAAAACCATTACAATCAGCAGCATTCATAACTGCAGGCAGGTTCAGCTGTCATCAGTCTCATAAATGTTCTCCTCTAAGAGCCTTCACTGCTGTCAGAGGGTCCTCAGGCAGCTTCAGAGGATCCTAACAAAGCACTGTGAGGACCCCTGCTGAACAGAACAAATCACCCTGATGGAAACCTCTACCCCCCGACCCTTGTCATCTTTCAGTGGTGTTCAAATGGAGCTCAAAGTTCAATAGAGGGTCTTGACCTGTTGGGGGCTGAAATAATCCGTGCATGTGTGTGTGTTTTTGTTGTGAGTATCGGTATAGACATATGTTTGAAAAGGGTTGCCTGTTGGGTCGCTAATTTAAGAGATGCTTTTATTAACAATGTTGAGCTATTGGTAAAGTGGAGATAAATTGCAATAACAAGAAAATGTCACAATAATTTAAATAACCACTTCATCTTTTTACTGAAGGACATTGATCTGTTTTTATTATCTACCGGCTGCACAAGATGGACTGTTTCCAAGTGACCTCAATTTGAACATTTCATTGATGTGATGAGGCAGATGGTTTCGAACACAAGCAAAGTAAAACCTGAATCAAAGGGAGATAGAAGAAAAAAGAAGGTGTGGTCACCACTTAAATACATTAACGCTACCTCATCCTCTAAATGGTCTCTGACTTACAAGTCTATTAGTTTATCTGTAGAGGCATCATCTCAGACTCCCTGGAGACAGTTAGGCATTCATTCTTGCAGGTCTTAGATAAGCGATACTTATGAGTAATAGTTGACGATGATGCAACTATGAAACTTATTCCCATTGTGTAGGTTGCAATGAACTCATTTCAATATCATTCAGATTTTTAGGTGAGTGCAGCTAAGCCTTATCATGTCTTTAATCTTTTACCACCCACTGTTTCGTTCTGTTACATAAATATGAACATGTATATGTGTATTTACAAATAAGACTCATTTTGGTCAGTATGATGGGTGAAATCCAGGGCCCTGCAGAGGAACTGAAACCTTAAGAAACAGTGTCTCCACAGTTGTGTGTGTTACATGAGCCTGCTTAATTGCCAGATCTTACAAACACTAATAATTAATGATAAGCTGTTGTTGCAGCATTTTATCTGGTTAATCAGGTCAAACAAAGACATCACATGCTCAGATAACAGAGGACTACTCTGTGTGATACTTTCATACTACAGAATATAAAACTACCTCTGTGACATTAATCAGTGTTCAATGTGTACCAGCACCAACGTGTATGTCTGTGTGTGTTTGTGTGTGTGTGTGTGTGTGTGTGTGTGTGTGTGTGTGTGTGTGTGTGTGTGTGTGTGTGTGTTATCTAGCATGAACCTATTAAATATAATAACTTGTGTTTGCAGTGTTTGCTGGTTTAAATAGACATGACATTTAGATAACGGAGAGTGAGAGAGACAGACAGACAGAGCTACAGAGGACTTTCACAGAAAGCACTGTTTATAGATGTCATCTGGTGGCGTTTTTCATTCAAACAATGTGAATCAACTCCAAGACGTCTTTTAGTGTTCTAACAATATAATGTGCAATATAATGTCTACATATTACACTACTTTGTGAGGGATTTTCATTAGAAACATGATAGAAGAAACACAATTTAACAACAACATATAGTTGCAGTGTATTGCTCAAATTGGATATTTTAAAGAGCAGCACATTCTACATAAATAACATATCAGCATGGTTCATACCTTGTCGAGCTTGGCCTCTATCTCCACCACGTCTGTCTCCACATCATCAATGCCAGCCCTGTAGAGAGAACACAAAAACACACACTTAATCAGACCTGCTCTTCAGTGAAGCCAGAATCTGTACAAACCAGAAAGACTGCCATTTCTAAAGAAGAGAAACCACACAGCTGAAAACCGTTACAGTCACAGTCAGAGCAAGATTCAAACTTTTGTTTGGAAGAGATTCTTGGATTAGTGGTAGGCCGCAATGTCACAGTGACTAATAACAAATAACCAGACATTATGGCATTGAAGTTTAAAAGCTTTGAAAGCAGGGGAAATATGTGAAGGGAACAAAATGGATGGAGAGATGAAAAGGACCAAACTGACAGTGTCAAGCTATGGTAAGTATATTGTACTGTGTATTCAAACATGAGCCACATCATCTTAGTATTTAGAGTATCTGCTTTTTACCGCCCCACTGAAAATTAAGCTGCAATCAGTGGGCATGCATCACAGTCACACAGACTGGATCATTAATCCCAATGACTGGATCGACAACTGCATCACTCTGGAAGATTAGTGACCACAGCCGAGCTGCAAAGATCAATGAATGACATCATGCAGAGACATAGACTGGTACTTAAGTATCTATAAGGTGAGCTGATAAAAGAGGCAGCAGCAACACAAAAGGTTTTATATTGGGTACTAACAATGAACAACAATAACAAAAACACAATAAAATACTCCAGATTTAGGTGTTACTTGGATATATTTCTTGAGTCTACACTAAATATGAAGATAATGGGATTTGATGTGCGTGTCAGGTGGTTTGGGTGGGCAATAAGCCTTTACTATCCTTCCCCTGGAGGAGGTCTTCTTCCATTAGTGTGCAAGCGCGCATGCACAAACACACACACACACACACACACACACACACACACACACACACACACACACACACACACACACACACACACGCACACACAGACAAATGTCCACATTTTACAGGGTCAGTTGTTATGGCAACTCCTAGTATGTGGGCCACAGAGGCTGTACTTTGGATTCCTACTATGTCAGATTGTATTTCTTATTCCTCTGACACACAGACCTATATACACCAAAACAGCACAATAGGCCCAAAAGTAATTCCATAAAAGAAAAGAACAGAATCCCTCCAATAAATAGATATTGACTTGTTTCTCAGTCTCCAGTCCTCAGGATCAGCTGGAGCTTATTGGAAATAATCAAGCCAAGGATCAGCATCACGCCCTGCATGTGCTGGAACATGTTGACCATAACCCCAAAAACCCTAGGAGGTGATGATCTCATCATACAATCTCAACCGCACCCTCATCTTCAACTCTTTAGTGGAGGAACTGGAGGAAGAACAAGCATACGCTTAAGCAACAACACCTGCTCGGCTAGTTTATTCTATAAAGGCCATGACTTGGCCTGTGGGGAAGTACACAGCGAAGGGGGGTAGGATGAGATGTCAGTCTGCACCTGCTCCTGAGAACAACATTCCCAGAATTCCTTTCTGCTCCTGAGCTTTTTTACAATGCTCTTCAGCTAATTCTCAACTTACGCCTGTCTTGAACTTGTCTTCTTCTATCATCCAGAGCATGCACTGTTTATACAGGCTGCACTTTTCTCTACCACAATGTGCCACTGACACAGCAGGCAGACGTGTGTGTGGTCTGCACTGATTTATATTGTTTCAAAGAGAAAAAGGACCAAGAGTTGATGTGAGACTTTTCATTAAGCCGTCCGAGTATTGTTGTCTGTCGTGCAGTGTAATCCATCAAACTGGCTTACAGTTTCTGCTCTTCTGCTGCATGTCAATTAGAAACACGACACTGCAGATACGAGATTGACTCACCGACAGCATCATGTTCTCCATTAAGTCACTACGAGCTGAACACATTCAATGTCAGCAGCTGTTAAATCAAGAAGTTAAGCTCATTACAAGTGTGTTGTGTCTCGGGCAGCACACACTACCAATAAAAAGCTACCCTATTGATCCAAGTGTTCAAGTTCAGTGCAGGTTTCAGAAAATAGGATGACTGTGGTACATGTGCTTTGTATTACTGGTTGGATGCATGTTTGTTTTCAACAAGCATGTTTGTGCGTGTATGTCAAAGTGCATAGGGAGTGATGCAGAGCTCGGAAAATAAATACACAAAGAAGGTTGTCAGCTCTGGCAAGGTTACTTTTTTTTCTAAAACAGTAATACAGAGGCAAATGTGTGTGTTTGAGAGTGTGTGTAAGCTTGTCGTTGTTATTTGTCCCTTTCAGTACCCACTACAGTGTACAGTATCTCAGCTTTTAATGTGTTTCCTTTAATTAAGTGCACTAGACAGTTATGACAGACCAGTTATGGGATTATTAAACTATGGTTGATGCTGCCAAGATACAATGGCTGCATAAAGATTGCAAGGCAGCAAGTAAAAAAAATTGTAAATATGTGTGTGTTTTGGTCTCAATGACACTTTGTGTGTGTGTATGTGTGTGTTTAAACACTGGAGGAACACCCAAAAGCTGCTCCAGTAATGATGATGATGATGATGATGTAGCCCAGTCTGGAGGGGGGATGGGCTCATACTCGCTGCCAGTGGTAGCATACTGTACACGGTCTGACATCACCAGTGAGCGGGGGAGGGGGGACTCACATGCACAAGCTCCACGTGCACTTCCATCAGCCCCAACTACCATCAACATTTCTGTATAGAGTCTATTCCTGTCCCCCATGCTGTGTGTGTACTCTAGCGTGAAGCTTGCGTGGTTATCATCTCAAATCTGTTCACACGAGAGCAAAGTGCGCACACGCCACACACACACACACACACACACACACACACACACACACACACACACACACACTTCCAGCCTAGAGACATATTTGAGTGCCCCCATGTCTCCCCAACTCCATGTGTCACATGGCATCATATCCACATCAGCATCACTTCAAGGACCAGACGGACAGCAGCTGAGAGAACAACAAGTTCTCTGATACCAGACAAGCCCCGACCCAATGGCTATAATGCTCACATGCAACTTGACGTTAGCAAAGATATTCACTGGAAATTACATGATACGTGTGTTAGACATTTTGTGCCTTGAGTAAAACAAGCTACTGGCTGTGTAGAGTAAAATGAAAGATGTTAACTTGTTTAACTAGGGAACTGGAACAACAGTGAACAAGCTAAGTGAAAAAACATCTGCTACCGAACTGAAAACCCCCAAAATTAGCATCTAATCAAATGTAATGTGGCATCAGTGCAAAGTGTGCATGTGCGTGTGTGCCCTGAATAAATCTTAATTTACGTTCAACCTCCTCTGTGGTGCTTCCTGATCTGAACTAAAATACATGTATGTATTTGTGTGACGTGTGCACTAAGTTTATTGCATTCACTGAACTTTACAAATGTATCTAAAGATTTATTATTATTAATTCCTGCATCTTTTATTTTACATTATTTTTCCAGCTGACTCAGTAAGTCAGGCTGTGTTTAGCAATGACCTCATTTTCGACTGACATCAGGTGGATGGAAAGCAGATGCACTGCCTCTTGTCTACACAGACACAGACACACACACACACACACACACACACACACACACACACACACACACACACACACACACACACACACACACACACACACACACACACAGATAGACAAACAGAAATAAACAAATGAATCAGATGCAGAGTATGACAAGCGACACAATGACCCAGAAACCTAAATACATGGTTTCATCAGGAACTCAATTACACAAGCCAAAACAATGTCAAACTTTTAACCTAAAAGATTTATTTATATTCAAATGAGCAGGTACCTAACTTTCAGTTAAAGGATGAAGAGAGAGCTGATGATGTGTGATGTTGGTTAGCAGCTGGAACATTTAACTAAAACAACATTTTCACATCTCAAAGAAGAGGAGAGCAGAAAGCCATAAATAAAGAAAGAATCATCATGCATGTTTTACTGTAATAATAACTGCCTACGGTTGTCTGACACGCATGCATGCATTCCTAATGGCACCCGGCCCTCACAGGCCCATAAGACACTATCATCCATGACATTGCTGAGAATAGACATGTCAGACATTACGCAAATCAATTACATTGTTCCCTTTATTCAATTTTTCAGAATTTTGCACATTTTCCTAATTCATATTACCATCCCATAGCATGTAGCACCATAAAACCCATTAAACCTAACCACATATAATTAACTACAAAATTCAAACCCAATAGTGGCTGAACAGACAGGGCTTACTGTCTCCATCACACACCAAATAAATGATCAATTCCAGGTCAATAAACTTGAATGAAATAATGACAGCAGTTCTTTTCACTAAACAATCTCAATATTATTTTTGCATTTTAAAGACTAATATAAATATAAAAAAGGATCTAAATAGGAGGCTCACTCATTACTATTTGTAGCATGTATTGTAATTATTTTTATTTTCAAAACAATAAACTAGGAGAAGGCAAAAGTGTTGTCGTTATGAAGTCGCCTGAACTGTATTTACACACACACACACACACACACACACACACAGAGAGATTAAAACTGTAAATTCTCATTTATAATGTATATACCCTTTCATCATCCTCCACCCTCAAGTTCAGACTGCACACAGAGACATACACACACATCAAAATATCCCCTTCCCAGAATTCCAAGTAGCAAGCTCCATGGCAACCATTCATTGACCCCAATCACCATGGCAACAGACATCGGCATTACTCGTGCTTTTTTTTTTACTGACCAATTTCCTCTTTGTCTGATGTGTCTGTCCACGTACATCTCCCTCTCCGTCTCACCAGCTCCCTCCTTTTTACCTAATTACTAATTTCCCATTCATGTGTGTGTTCGTACGACGCCTCTTTTACTGGGAGGAAATCAGCCGAAACACAACAACCTGCTGATACAATCTTTGTCACGGACAGGCCGGTGAGCGAGTGTCTGTAGTGTGCATCTTTCTGTCGCTACAAGCAAAGTGCCCTTGAGTAGTCCTGCTCGCGGCAAATACATCACAACATGTAATTCTTTCTCTTGTTCAG